CGAGCTCTGGGATACACATTGAGGTGTAGGGCCACTTGAATTGGAGACAGGAGGTAAGGGTGGTATGATGTTCCTCGATGGTCCTGACGCGACGACAAGACTGAAATATGTGAGGACCAAACGTATCACCTTGGAAAATTATCAGCTTACTTGGCGCTTGATTCAGCCTTAAATTGTGACAAAATCTGCCTGACATCTGGTTAGATGGATTGCCACGCGCAGAGGTAAATGAATTTAGTTTACTCCGCATGCTGCCCATCTCTGACGCGCTGTTCAAGCTCTTGAGTGACAGATCGCCTGTAAGCCTCGTTGTTCTGCGCCTCGTATTCTCCTAAAAGCCTCCTGTAATGGTTGATACGCGCTTGATTTTGCACAAATTCTTCAGCAGTGACGATAGTCGGTGGATTATAAACGCCAACGCTGCGTGTGTCGTTCTGGCTATTAGCCATTTCGCCAATCACGGTCAGGTATCAATGATTTTGCACCACAGGCTGATAATACTTCTTCTACAGTTGTGGCAGGCGGTTGTGGGTGAAGTTGAGCAAGAAATGCGCTGAGTTTTCCGTTGAATAATCACAGCCAAATCCAGCCCAAATATTCTTGCTTTGGTGAACGCGTCTTTCAGCCACAACCAGGGTCATTAGTCACATGTCACATAAGCTAGCTCGTCACGCTTTGCTGCACGTGACACTTATGGCCTTTCTCCCAATACTCCGAACGCGACTGCCGCGACAATGTCGACTCAGTCTCCGAACTTTCGCATCGGAATCCTCTACAACAGTTCCTGCATCAAGTATAAATAACCCATATCAAGTCTTCGATCGCACAGCAAAGCGCCTTCAAAAGGACCGTGCAGTGTCGAGAGACACTGGAGTGCGAAGTCGAACAGTCGATTATGTCCGAGATGAGGTCGCGGATAGGATGATGGAGCGGTTGATGGTCCGCTCCAAGCTACATCTTTGGTGTCATGATAATAATTTGAAATTTCGTGCAGGATATCAAACGAAAGTTTGATACAATAGTTGACCTGGGCTCTGGTCCTGGGCACTTCTCTAAGCTGCTTGAACCCGAGAAAACTCGCAAAGTTGTTATGATTGAATCCAGTGGTACGATATCTTCTCCCTCAGTTGATTCGGTTACTCCAGGCAACTGAGCCTTTAAGTAGAACAGACATTGAACCGGGATCCTGATGAGGACTTTGACGGTTAGGCAGTCGATTTCGATGAGCAATACATACTCACCGCTTGCTTTTAGTCGAAGTTGAAAGATTACATGCTGATGAGGAAAAACTCCTCGACATTGTTCCATGCAACAGTCAAGAAGCAATTGTCTCCTGTTTAAGCTTACAATGGATCAACGATCTCCCTGGTTAACACTTTTCAATCCGACTGTCCCTTTTATCCATTTTCAAACCTCTTTACAGGAATACTTGTACAAATAAGAGAAGCTCTGCAACCAGATGGCCTCTTTCTTGCAGCCGTTTTTGGTGGTGATACCCTTTTTGAGCTTCGGTATGTCCTGTTTATGCGAGTAAAGAATGCCCTCATTGTGTCAATCAGGACATCCCTACAGCTTGCTGAAATGGATCGGGAAGGTGGTATATCTCCACATGTTTCGCCAATGACTGGTATGTCCTGTTTGATTTCAATTATAGATCATGATGACTCATTGGATTCAGACACGAAAGACATTTCCAACCTGCTTTCTCGAGCAGGGTTCAATTTGCTGACGGTTGATGTTGATGAGGTCAAGGTTGGGTATCCCAGTATGTGGGAGCTTGTTGAGGACCTCAGGGATATGGGGGAGAGCAATAGCGTTATCGGACGGTTAGTGCACTTCACATAAAAGGAACTACTCGCCCATCTTTGCTCTTTCAGGAGACATTTTATGCACCGTGATACTTTAGCCGCTGCTTCCGCTATATACAAAGGTAGCTATGATGTTTTGTGGCACAGGGTAAGCAAACCTAATGCGGGTTGACAGAGCTTCATGGCAATGAAGATGGCTCGATCCCGGCGACTTTTCAAATCATCTACATGGTAAAACGTCCGTTTGCCCATCACTATATTGTTATTGAATGAATTTTCCAGATTGGATGGAAACCAGCTCCAACTCAGCCCAAACCACTCGAACGGGGTACCGCACAGACGAATCTGAAAGATGTTTTGGAATAAATTATCCCAGAGCTCTCGCACCACTGCCCAACTTAGCTGATTGTACTATGCCTGTTTTCCATCGAACGCTGTAGCTTCTAAAGGATCCACAGGATATTCGCTTTCCAATGATTGTGAATGCAAGTCAGGAATAGTTGATCCGGTATCTCCATCTCTCGGTGTCGACTCTGGTTCATCGTCATCCTCGTTTTGTGTATGATCTATAGTCTCGGTATTTCCGGAACGGTAGTTTGTATCTGAAATTTGGAACTTTCTTTTTGGGATCACGCCCCAAAAGGCTTTTTCCCAATCTCTGCTCTCAACCCACTTCAACAGTATCTCAAACACCTGCGACATTAATGAACTCTCCGGCAATCGATCCAGCATCTAGCCATACCTGGTTCACTGTCAAAACTTTTCGGGTCGTGAGCGACGCCATGTACCGTCCAATAGGGAGGCGTGCATGGCGGACACCCGACGCTATTGCCTTGTTCAGACAGAGATTCTAGGGCTCGTATTAACGTTTGTTCGCGAGATCGAGGACCAACCCAACTTTGTACCGGTTATGGTCACAAATCCCACCAATAACGTACGTTTCACCTTCCCGAAGTTCCAACAATTCTTCTTCGGAATCTGCAGTGAGGTATATAACGTTTGCTTGAGTGGAAACACACTTGTCGGAATTATCGCTACTAGTGCCATTGTCTGCCCACAATCGTTCATAGTCGTCCTCCCGCCATTCTGTATTTGTCCATCGCGTATACGATGCATTATTTATCCCGTCCAAGCGATTTTTTGTACGCTTATTCAAAGATGTGAACAACAATTTCGAGAAAGGCTGTGGTGCATGGCGGTTTGCACTGTATGTATATGCAAGTTGTGATGTCAACGATATGATTTCCTGGGCCCGGAGCTATGTGAGGGATACCAGATTCCGTCCAGAGGACTAGAATACACACTTTCTCAAGCATCAAATCATCAAAACCAAGATCGATTGCGATCTGAGCACCAAAAGCACTCTGAGTAATCTCCGCTACTCTCCTTCGCTTTGTATCTCTTTGCGGTTCTTCTGCATTGATTGCACCAGTAGCTTTGCGTTCTTGTTCCGCTTGGGCACGCTCTTGTCGTTTCCGTTTCTTGGCCTCTTTTTCGCGAGCCCGACGCTCCAGCTTCAGTTCTGCCATACGTGCAGCTTTTGCTGCCTTTTTCTGGCCCTTTTTTGATAGAGGTTTCACATCCTCATCTTGAAATGCGACAGCCTCCACCGTATCAGCTTGAGATGAAGGGCTCGATGTTGATTCCGTAGCCATAGATGTTAATGTTCAAGCTCAAGATGACGAAGGTATCGAGATATATTCGGTATTATTATAAGAAGTTCCCCAGGCCTAAAGTCGACGGTAAATCCCGTTTACAAATCACTGTATATGAACCTCATTACCATTAGAATCCTCTTGACTGCATTCATTTTTCTCGTTATCGCATACATCTACAACACTAGAGTTGACATTGATTCATCTTTTTCAGCATCTTCTGGTTCTTCTATACCTGGACAATCAGATATCGAGATCAACTTCCAGGAACACACTTCCATGGCTGCATTAACCCCTCTCAAGTATCTTACTGTGTCCCCTTTGGCGAAGCACACAGCGAGTATCATCGTATTGCATGTAAGCACATATATCTCGATGTCACCGCTCTATTTATTGTAGTGTTAGGGCTTAGGTGACACTGGACATGGCTGGAAACCGGTCGCGGATATGTTCTCCCCAGAGCTTCGCCATGTCAAATGGATTCTTCCTCACGCGTGAGCATTTGATCGTTTTCCCAATCCTCTTGTGTGAACCGTTTCACAGGCCTATCAAACCAGTAACAATTAATATGGGCATGGAAATGACATCCTGGTTCGATATATATACGTTCGAGTTCAATCCTGCTGAGGACGAAGCGGAAAAAGACGGGCTTTTCCAATCCATGCGATCCATCGACGCCCTCATCAAAGCAGAAGTCGATGCGGGAATCGATCCTTCACGCATTGTCCTCGCGGGCTTTAGTCAGGGTGGTGCAGTGGTTGGATTAACAGCGCTCCTTGGCTCGAAAGCACGAGAGAACTGGGGAGGAAACGGTTGGAATCTTGGAGGTGTAGCAGTTTTAAGTGGTTGGCTTGCCCTAAGGGATATTGTGAAGGAGGTATGGACTATGCTATTCAGAATAAGGACAGTCATTGTTCTGACTCCCCTGCTCTTAGCTCGCTAGCCCAAACGTCACAAACATACCGATCTTCTGGGGTCATGGCACGCACGATCCGCTTATCAAATATCAATATGGCCTTGACTCCGTTGCTTATCTTCAGAAGGAGCTAAGCGTCAGCACTGTTGAGAAAACAGGCTCCCTAATTGGTGTGGATTTTAGGTCGTATCATGGAATGGGGCACTCGACGTGTCCCAAAGAGTTAAACGACCTCAAAGATTTTTTCAAACGAGTCTTGCCTGCGAATACATGATGAGAAGAGTAATATTTGGTTTATATAGAGGAATCTTTCCTTTGGCACCTGGTACATCCAAAAAAGAGTATCCACTGTTTCTACAATCTCTAATCACTATCATTGTGATCATCATGCCTGAGACATCTTGATGTTCAAAACAAGGTTAAATATCTCGTGATATCTGGGTTCTTGTCTGTTAAAATGCAGGCTTGATGAGAAGGCTAATACATCAAGCTCGAATATCGTCTGGAAGGTACATGTGTGGAGAACTGTAAAACCTTTGCGCTTCTGCCGAAGACATTGACAGTAGCAGTGTGGCGAATTGAATACTACGTATGTTGTACTTAGCAATCCCCATTTTCCATGGCTACCTAGCGCAATGGTAGCGCGTTTGGCTTCGATGCCGAGCGGCTACTTACGTCATATTGATTACGTAAAATTGATACCAAAAGGTTGCAGGTTCGATCCCTGCGGTGGTCAAGGTTTTTTGATTCATTTTATTATAGTTTTATCCTTGCAGACAGATA